CTTTGGAAACCTATTTTAAGGGGGATTACATTTTCTTATACTTCTAAGCTCTTTACAAGAATGCTTTCAAGCAAATTTGGCTGCAATACTTGCTAATATACAGTAGGATTAAAAATTAATATACAGCTATATAAAGGAAATGGGTTTCATTTTCTATGAACAGTAAAAAAAGCAGGACTTATTAAAAATGCCCAAGAACACTATCATTAGTTTTAGTTAGCATCCTATCATTGAATAGATGCACATAAATGCTCATTTTAATACTTATCAGAATGCTCTCAAAATATTTGCTGTCATAAAGATAATAAAAGAATCAAAATAAAAATCTCAAGACTAACATACCTGCTTGGATTTTCTCTTGATCATCTGTGCTCATCAGCTTCCAGCTCTCTGTGTGACGAACAGCATAGAAAGACTGAACCAGGAAGATCCACAGCTTATCACGCAGAGCCTGGATCTTGCACGTAAAACCCTGTGTTCCAGCAACAAATCAGCAGCTGGTGAGAGCCACATTGTCATAGCAACCAGTCATTATTCCTTTCCGAATCTACTTACTCCTAAGCTAGATCAATGATGTCATCACTTTGATTTTTAAGATCGTCGGGTACGCGTTATTTACGAGGGAATACTCATTAACAGCAGAATTTTATAATGAACATAAAGCTAAACCTTCTCCTTTCAACCAAACACTATTTTAAAATCCCAGTGGCCTTTATATGAATATTTTCCACAGGCTTTTCAAATCAACTATGACATTACAAGGTCAAATACTCTATGCAATAATGATAAATATGATGACATGTTTTATCAGTCTTGCAAAACAAATATAAAATGCCAATAATTTGCAATTAAGTTATTAATACCATTAATTAATGAGACTTGAAAATAAGTAATATTTTAATTTTGCTTTTTCTTAATCAACCTGATTTTAAAATAAGATATTTTGAAGAGAAAGAGGAATTAAGAATATATTATAAAAAAGAAAGACACTGGTGATTAAAAATTTTAAAATATACATCTTACATCCAAAAAAATTAAATTTAGTAATCACAGAGAAATACTAGAGTTATACTGGGCCAAATAATATTGCTAAGTGCCAAACTATGTTTAGAATTCACCAAACTGCCAAATTCTAAACTTTTTTTTCTTTTTGTAGAGGTTTTTGCCTTAGGGCAAGTGTGTTTGCTAGAGAGAGAGAGACAGAGAGAGGGAAAGTGAGAAATCACCTCCCCTCCCCCAGGGAAGATGGCCATGCCACAATCTCATCTCCTCTACTCTCCTCTCAGAATTTTGGGCACGCACGCCTGGCATGATTTTCAAGCTACCAGGTCCAGGACTCAAACTGCAGCGGGCCATGTAGGAGTCCAGCGATGTAACTGCTATGCCATCTGCTGGTCCCCCCAATTCTGAACTTCTATAAAAAGAACTTTTGGAAATAAAGGGAATTAAAAAAAATTGTATTACGAAAAATTTTAAAAATACACATAAAAACAGGGATCATAATGAACTCCCAGGTATCTGTTGCCTATGCTTCAATGATCCATTAAACATTAATATGCACATACATTTTAAAATCTTAAAAGCAGTTCAAATATTACAAAATTTTTATGAACTTAATTATGTTAAGTACCATTTCCTTTGTACTTTCAGAGGTTAGCAATGTGTCCAGAGCCATAAGAAGAGAGCAACTATTTTCAGTGGTAATGTTTTCTTCGATTGCTTTTAAAATTTTGTCCAACAAGTCAGCTGTGCTGCTCATTGCTTGTGACTACAAACATAGAAATTGATATTTAATAGTATTATATGTAAACAGTATAAGAAATATGAATGCTTGCCATGATAACAGAACAACAATCATAATCGGCTGTATGAAGTCAATCAGAAATCATATTTGCTGCTTTCCTTTCTTTTGCTAAAAAAATCTGCATGTACACATACATATATATACGTACTGTATTTTGGAGCTAACAGCCCTAGTAACAGAACCTAGAAATAAGCAATAGGAGTTCTTTATTCAATGACTGATTTTAGAGGAAGTAGTTCAGTAGTAAAAGGGAATTTTGTATGGACCATAACTGTAATACTGACCAAAACAATATCATTATGATTTTAGTTTCTAAGATATTATGCTGATTGAGGGCTAGAGTTGGCCTGAGTTACACTGAGCTTTGCCAGGGCACTCCAACCTGTCCCTCCTGCCTTCCTTAACTTGTGAGCCAAAAATCCTGTCCATCACTATCACTGTTCTAAATCCTATGCAAACATGCCATCTGCTATGGAATTTATTTAAACCATACTGATTTAATCAAAAGCAACCTGCATTTAAAGCCTCTTATGTAATTAAAACCAGAACACAAAGATGGGGCTAAATATAGGCTATAATGTTAGATGTGGTACCTGTAAAAGAAGAGCAAAATTTTCACTCTGAATGATCTTCGGAAAGTTTTGTACAATAAACCCAATACATTCTTCTTGAAGCTGGGAGGCCATAGTCAGTGCTGCTTCTGTCCACTTCACTCTGGGTAGACTGATGATGAGCCTGTCACTTTCCATCAGAAGAAAAGCGGCATTCTTATCATCCTCAGAATTTAAAAAAATATTGAAAAAAGAGTTAGATGGTATTACTGCTCACAAAACAATTTTCTAAGCAGATCAGACACTTTTGGTTTCTTGTGTTGTTTCCTGAAAACAAACAAACAAACAAACAAAAAACAAAGTTCCGCGTAACTAGCGTCTTTGTCATTAGTTTTACAAGAAGTATTTATTTATTCATTCCCTTAGAATTATCCAAAAGGGCAAACTTTGAGTTGGAAATGAACCACCTTTAAAAGGTAGCAAAGGATGAGCTCCATAGCACAGCGGTTAAGGGCTGCACAGAAGAAGCTAGATCCCACGTGACAGATGAGGTTTCAAATAACAGGCCTGTTGACTTGAAAACATGCTGGGCACATATGCCTGTGCCCAGGATCCTTACAGGATGAAAAACTGGAGGAAAAAAAGGATTCTGCCAAGACCAGGTCCTGCTTGGGGGGAGGAGAGTGGCGCTTCTTCTCTCATGCATGTACACAAGATCTCTGGCATAAAAAGTAAAATAAAAAAGTAGCTGAAACAAACCTGAGAGCAAAGTTACGAGACACACTTCACTTCTTTGCAATTATCACTACTGAATTAATTTCCATGCTCACAAGTGTAATACAGAACTAAACAGCTGCAGCTACATTAACATCACCTTAGTTTTTTTTTTTTTTTTTTTTTAAATTGTCAGAGGGTACATGCACTAACCAAAGAGAGACAGAGAGAGGGAGAAAGTGTCCCCCAGTGGGGCATGGTCATTCCAAAATCCCTTCTTCTCCATTTCTCCAACCTGCTGGGACCTGGGGCATGCACGCTCATGTGCTGCCATGTTTTTCAAGTTGTCAGGGCTGGGATTTGAAAAGTGATCAGCTATGTGGGATCCAACTCCCTTAACCACTATGCTACAGGGCTGGCTCACAGCCTTAATTTTTCTGACTATACAATACATATTCTTTATTGCAAATTTAGAAAGCCTAAAAATTAATTGTAATCTCCTGTGATTTTCTTGCTCTTTCATGATTAGGTAAGAATTTTTTATATATTTTATTCATTTAATGATGATTCATTTTTATGCCATAGGAAAAAAAATGGTCAAAATATTAATCTCTTTTTGGAAAATGGAGGATAATTATAAAAACCATGTGCGCTAAGGCAAAGGAAAAAATGGGGCTGGTAGATGGCCTGGTGGTTAAGGTGCTGGACTCCCACATGGCCAACAACAGTTTGAATCCCAAATCTGGTGGCTTGCTTTCTCACTTTCCTTCTCTCTCTCACTCTGTCCCTCTGTGGTCCAATTAAACTAACTAACTAAATAAATAAAGTTAAATAAAATAATTCTTTTAAAATTATTTTTAAAAGGAAAAGGAAAAAATGGCTGCTTATAAGTTATCATATCTTATTCATGTTTGATTTCTAGTTCTTGAAACAATCCTTAATAACTATTTACTTAATAGATAGTTACCTGATATAATGTAGGAGATTGAAAAACACAGCCACAAAGTCTTTGTAGCTCCATCCATCAAGAGGTGGAATCTATATCCTCATGCCTGGAATCTGGACTGGCCTCTTCATTTGCTTTAACCCACAGGGGTGGTATGCAAGTCCCAGAGCCTATGCCTCAAGAAACCTTGCAGCTTCTGTCTTTATCTTGGAATCCTGGGACCACCAGGTTATAAAGAAGTCTAGAAAGAGAGACCAGTGGAGTGCAAAGCCTCCTAGCTTAGCCACCAGCTGAATGCAGCTGCAGGAGGGAGCTCAGACAAGACCCACAGAATGCCCCAATCAACCCACAGAATTATGAGAAATAAACTGTAGTTTAAAGTCACTGATTTTTTTTTTTTTTGAGAGGTTTTTGCTATAGGGCGCCTGCGCTCGTCAGACAGACAGAGAGAGACAGAGAGATAGAAAGCAAGAAATCACCCCCCAGGGGGGATGGCCACGCCACAATCCCTTCTCCTTCATTCTCCTCTCAGGATCTTGGGCATGCACGCACACGCGCCCGGCGTGAGTTTAAGCCACCAGGTCCGGACTCGAACCGTGGTCGACTACGTGGGAGTCCAGTGACATAGCCATTACGCTAACTGCTGGTCCCTAAAGTCACTGATTTTGGGGATGGTTACACGGCAATAGACAATTGGTAAATCTAGAAATGATAGCCCGAACTACTTAACTGGACCCTGCACACTCTATATTGTTCAGATCTCCGTTACAGCACTGTCTGCTGATACCTACACCTCTATCAGATTCTTTTTATACCTATCAGAGAACTTGTCCCCTTTTTTGAGCACTTAATTCCTTTGCAATTACTCAAAGATAAAAATAACTATTTGATTAATGTCTGTCAGCCTATGTAGTCTATGTAGTCTGTATATTCAATGAATTTGAACCGTGTCTGTGTTCACTATACTCCCAGAGCCTAGTATTGAACTGGGCCATAGTGAACCCTCAAATATTTGCTGATCTCTTAACATGACCAAAGGCCAAGAGTCTAAGAATGAATTTCTAAGATAACTTAAGTTTTATCTTTAAACAATAAAACTTTAATAATTTTACCCATTGTGGAAGAATTATTTAAAACTGTATTATATAGGGGCTAGCAGTTGGCGTAATGTCTATGTCGCTGGACTACCATGTAGTTGACTGTGGTTCGAGCCTCAGACCCAGTGGCTTAAATTCACTCTGATTGCGTGTGTGTGCGTGCCTAAAATCCCAAGAGGAGAATGGAGGAAAAGGGATTGTGGCATGGTCCTCCCCTCTGGGGGAAGGTGAGTTCTCACTTTCTGTCTCTCTGTCTCTATCTTTTTGGTGAGTCCTGTAGCAAAAGCCTCTCAAAAAAAAGTGTATTACATAACTCCTGCTTAGCTTATAAGCAAACTTCAACAAATACATGGAAAAATGGAATTAAAATATGAGTTTATTTTGGTACAAAAACATTTTAAAATCCATGCGCAGTTTTTGTATAAAACATATATTCCATGAACAGCTTGAGGACCCTTAATATCAGAGTAAAAACGAACCATACTTTGCTATAATTCAAGTCTTTCTTTTTTTTTCTTTCTTTCTTTTTTTTAGTACCATTATGTTTTCCATCTCTGGTGGAATTATCATGAGTTTTCAGAAATACGCCCAATTAGCTTTACTATAGAGGCTCTAGTATAGAGGCATTGCTCTGCTGGTGAAGCTAAACGTAGGATAGTCAAATAAATTTGGCAGGTATCTACAAAATGCTTACTATATACCTAATGTTGTATGCTCTCACAGTAATATTTTTAAAAATACAGATATAAAATACAGTTGTTATAATTTAACTTGGGATCTACTGGAAAACTAAATAAAACAGCTAAATAATAGATAATGCGTGATCTTATTCCATACTGATTTGAATAACTGTTTAATGTTAGAATACCTTGAGATTCAAAGAAGAAAAAAATCTGTAGCACTTTTAGGCCAAATACACAAAATTTTAATTCTATAGGCCCAGCCCGCTATTCTATTAGTTAAGGGAGTCAGATCCCACATGGCTGAATGTGGTTTTGATCGTGGCCCCGTTGGCATGAAAAACACGTCCCTTCCTTCTTTCTGTCTCTGGCAAGCTCACATGCCCTCTGGCAATTAATTTTTTCAACTCTATTGTTACATAACTATAGCATTCAAAATTCAAAAATCTATAAAGGACATTATTAGGAAGTCTTTCTATCCCTAAGGCACTCATTTTGCAACCAATATTATTTCTCTTCTGTTTTTACAGTAAATTTATATCACAAACAAAATATATATACATACAAAAAGTCTTCAAAAAGTTCATGGAAAACATATATGAAAAAAGCATATATGTATTTCACAGGTTTTTTTTTCCACAGGAAAATAAACTCATTTAATTCCATTTTTTCTATGCACTTTTTGAAGTCATTTCTTCCTTACTTTATTCAAAAGAAGGTATTAATATGCACAGTACTCTGTACCACCAATCCTTTTACACTTAACAAACATCTTGAATGTTTTCCTAGTGGAGAAAGAGTAATTTTATTGTTTTAATAGCTATGCCATAGTCTATAACATAGATTTGTCATAATTCATTTAACCAATCTTCTACTTACATTTACATTGTTTCCAACTTTTGTTATTATGGTGCTGTAACAAATTACCTTGTATGCAATATAATTTCACATATAGGTGAATATACTATAAGATGCATTTCTAGAAGTAGAATTAATTACTCGTCAAACTACTTGATCAATACTATATTGTCTTAGCCTGGGTTCTGCCTAAAAACTAAGCCTAAGAAATAGGCTTGTATATAGATAGCTTATTTTAGAAAGTGATCCCAAGGGGATCTGCTATGACTTGAACATTCCTCTTAAAACTCATTTTGAAATTTAATCGCCAGTGTAACTGTACTGGGAAGTGGGGTCCTTGAGAGGTAATTCCATCACAAGGACTCTATTCTCAAGAATGGATTAATGCTCTTATGGGAATGGCTTCTGAAAACCTCATTTTCTCTCACTGTCTTGTGCACTGACTTCTGTTTTCTTCCAGCAGAATGACTCTCCAGATGTGGACCCTTGATCCTGGACTTCTCAGCCTCCGGGGTCATACGGGAGAATAAAATCCTATTGTTTATAATTTACCCTGTCTCTGGGTATTTTTTTCTTTTTAAGTTCATTTATTTTTTTCTTCCATAAGTAAGACAGAACAATAAAGCACTCCAGCAGGGTGCTGAAGCCACGATCAACCACAGCTTCCTAGCCCTGGATCATTGGCACACACCACAAAGGAGAAGAGCAAAAGAAACAAAGAGGGACAAAAGAACTACCAGATAAGCAAGCAAACAAACACACAAAAAACCAACAAAACAAATGGCAATATTAAATCCTATCAATAATTACTTAAAAGGTAAATGGATTAAACTTTCCAATCAAAAGATGCTGAGAAGGACAGCCATACAGAGAAAGTATAAGCAGCTGTAGCAGAATCCCCACACCATGACCTACCCCCTAGTCTCGGCCAGGCTGGACCTGGATTAGGGAGACCTGTGTGTAGGGAGACCCTGGGATATGATTAAGAGGATTAATAACAACAAAACAAAACAAAAGACAAGATGCAGGACCAGGTGGTGATATAGCAGTGATGAACATGGACCCAAATGGGAAGGTCTTGGGTTTGCATTGTGGAACCTGCCTGGACACGGGGCAGGCATGCGCACTGGGTATATATACATGTGTCTAAGATCCTGGGCTGGGTGATACTAGAAGCTGATCATGGTGTAAGCACCTTGTTGCAGGTACTTCTCTCTTTTTCTCCCATAGAAGAAATAAGAAAAAAAAAACCTTAAAAATATCCAACTTTATGCTGTTCAAAACGGACTTACTGGTTTAAAAAGTTTATGTAGGACCAATCGGTACATGGTGGTTAAGGCACTAGATCCCACATGGCTGACTATGCAGTTAGAGTCCTGGTCCCAGAGGTTTGAAAAACACACTGGGGGTGTGTGTGTGCCCAAAATCCCAAGGGGAGAATGGAGAAAAAGGGATAGAAGTATGGCCATCTCACCTGGGATTTCTCACTTTCTCTCTCTGGTAAACACACACATCCTATTCCTATGACAAAAAAAAAAAAAAAAAGAAGAAAGAAAAGAAAAGAAATGTGTATTTATTTATTCCGTCCATGAGCAAGAGAGACAGAGAAACAGCATCCAAAGCCACACTCTGTCTCCAGCTTCAGTCAGCCCTGGATCACAGGCAGGTGCACATCTAGAGTATTCTGGACATGAACAGGGCCTTGCCAGGTGGATCAGCTTGCAGAGTACTGCATTTTAGTGCCCCACCACTGGACCCACAATAGACTTACTTTTCGATCTAAGGGGAAAAATCAGGCTGAAAATGAAGGGATGGAAAAAGATATTCATACAAATGGAAACAAAATAAGGGTAGGGTGGGGATATTCAAGTCAGACAAAACAGACTGAGTCAAAAACTGTCACAAGAGTCATAAGACATGTAATGATAAAAGGGTCAAGCTACCCGGAAGCCACAGCAATTATAAATATATGTACACCCTGCATCAGAGCACTTAAGTGCATAAAACAAATTTTAATAGAGAAAGCTAGCAATAAAAAGATAGTAGGAAACATCAAACAGTATTTTCAATAATGAATAGCTAAACCAGGGGGGACCAGCAGTTAGTGTAATGGCTATGTTGCTGAACTCCCACGTAGTTGATCGCGGTTCGCATCCCAGACCTGGTGGCTTAAAACTCACACCAGGCGCGTGTGTGTGCATACCCAAGATCCCAAGAGGAGAATGGAGGAGAAGGGATTGCGACATGGCCATCTCCCCTGGGGGGTGATTTCTCACTTTCTGTCTCTCTGTCTCTGTCTTTCTGGCGAGTGCATGTGCCCTATAGCAAAAAAAAAAAAAAAAAAAAACCTCTCAAAAAAAAAAAAAAAAAAAAAAAAAAAAGAATAGTGAATAGCTAAACCAGACAGAAAATCAACAAAGAAACAGCAGGCTTAAACAATACTATAGACCAATTGGACCTAACAGACCTATACAGAACATTCTAACCATAGCAGCAGAATAAATATTCCTTTCAAGTGTAAACAAAACATTATCTATAACAGAACATCACATTAGGCACCAAAACAAGTCTTAACAAAATTAAGAGAACTGAAATCATATCATGCACCTTTTTTTCTTCTTTCCTCCCTTCCTTTTTTCCATCCTTAAAAGCACTGTATAAAATGCAATTAACTTATTTTTAATTTTTATTTTTATTTAGAGGTTTTTGCTATAGGGCACGTGTGCTCGCCAGAAAGACAGAGAGAGACAAAGAGATAGAAAGCGAGAAATCACCCCCCAGGGGGGATGGCCATGCTGCGATCCCTTCTCCTCCATTCTCCTCTCGGGATCTTGGGCATGCATGCACACGTGCCCGGCATGAGTTTAAGCCACCAGGTCCGGGACTCAAACCGTGGTCAACTACATGGGAGTTCAGCGACATAGCCATTATGCTAACTGCTGGTCCCTAAAATGGAATAAACTTTTTGATGACAAACACAAACAAGGGTATAGAGAGTATACTTACTAAGGACTGAATCAACATGGTAAGACAATTTTTCTGAATCTCAGGAGGTACAGTTGCAAAGCTTCTCTCAGACCAAAATCTTGCAAAATGCTTTACAATCCACCTTTTAAAATAAAATAATCCCAAATTAGACAAATGAAAATATATTTATAGCCAATAATATGTTGGCTTTCAATGATATAAATTGAACATACATATGTTTTGATTAACCTCTACTATTAATTTTATGAGCTCTAAGATGGACTTAATTATACTTTTTTATAAACACATATTTTAAAACTATGTTGAATATATGCACAGATTTCATCATAATTAACCATTCTTTAGCTACAATAAAATTGATCCCAAGAATCTTGAGCAATATTTAAATCGGCAATTCTATTCATTGGTGCAATTAGTTACATACTAAGCTACTTACACTGTGCCTAAGAAAATAGGCCACATCTAAAATTGTTCGCAAAATTAGGAGAATAGAAGAACAAAGTCCTAAATTAATAGTATCAGCAGTACTTAAGGTAACTTACTTCATACAGTCAGCAAAAAGACTTTCCACCCCAACTGAATGAGCAATAATCAGGCATTCAAGAATGGACCCCAGTGTTCTGGAAATAGGCTAAAATTGATAGAAAATACTACATTTATTCTTTTTCAACTTACAGAGGCTAAAAGTATTCAATTCAAAAGATAAACTGATTTATATACTGAAAATGCAACATAAATACATGCCATTCAAAATCTGATGAATTCAGAATTCATTATTTTACATTTAATTCTTTGGAATTAATTTCTGTCTGCATGGATACTTTAGTGTCTTAACTTATTTTTTCTTAAAAACACCTTTCCACACAAAAACCTGCACATGAATGTTAATAGCAACTTTACTTACAATTGCCAAAATTTGGAAACCACAGAGATGTCCTTCCGTAGGCAAACAGAAATGTGAACTGTAGTTCATCCATACAATGGAATATTCAGCAATAAAAAAGAAATGAGCTATCAAGCCATAAAACAACATGGAGGAAACCTGAATGCATATTACTAAGTAAAATGAAGACACTGTGAAAAGATACACACACTGTATGATTCTAACTGGATGACATTCTGGAAAACCCAAAACTGGGGACAGTGAAAAGGTAAGTGGCTGCCAGAGTGGGGGGAGGAAAGGAGAGAGCACAGGGGATTTTTAGGGCACTGAAAATATTCTATGATGTAATGGTGCACACATATCCTTACACATTTGTCCAAATCCACAGAATGTACACCACCAAGAATAAACCCTAATGAACCCTATGGACTTTGGGTGACAATGAGATATGTCAGTGTGGGTTCCTCAGTTTTAACAAATGTTCCACTTACGGTGGGAATGTCCATAATGGGGTAGAGTATGCATGTGTGGAGGCAGGGGATATATGGCATATCTTTGTACCTTCCTCTTAATTTTGCTGTGAACCTAAATTTCTCAAAAACAAATAAAACAAAACAAAAAACACAACTTCTTTCAAAAAAGCTGCGTTCTTTTAAAAACAAGCATTACTGATAATGTTTAGTTTTATAGAATAATATTTAAGTTAAAACTTGCAGATACACAGTTTTTTCTTTTTTTGTTGGAGGGCTTGTGTGCTCATTGAAGACAGAGCCAGAGAAAGAGAAGGAAAGTGAAAAAGCACCCCCAGGGTGGATGGCCACACTGCAGTCTCGTCTCCTCCATTCTCATCTTGGGATTTGGGGCATGCATGAACACATGGCTGGCGTGTTTTTCAGGCTGCCAAGTCCAGCACTTGAACTGTGCAATTGCCACGTGGGATCCAGGTGCCTTAACCACATCCTGGCACCAGATGCACACAATTTTTATTCTAATTTCCTTTAGTTTAAACATCTTTTTTAAAAAGCAAAGGTGGTATAATAATTTCTAGCATTGCAATACAACCTAATTTGCCAGTTTAAATGGTTTCCTATAGTATAAACATTACTTAAAGTACAAGTACAATGGGAGGTCCTACACTGACTTCAGATAAAAAGAAATATTTTAATTAGATTATAATTATATAATATGTTTTCTAAAAGCATATATTCAGATATAATGAATTAAAACAAAAAAAATGCAGACACTATTCAGATATAATGAATTAAAACAAAAAAAACCGCAGAGATAATGCATCCCCATAGGGATGGCCCAGCATAACACTTACATTTTTTCTTTATTCATGATAGAATGTGTGCATGCACACGTGAGAGTGAGAGAGAGACCAGCACTGTCTGCAAGGAGTCAAGCACTGTCTGCAAGGTCTGATCATGCTGCAACCTTCCTCCTGAATTCTAGTCCACGGGATCTTGAGCACTCACACATGTGCCCTGTAAATTTCAGGTTGTCTGAACTAGGGATTCAAATGCAGTGGCCATGTGAGATCTGGCTTCTCTTGAGCAGTGCATTATCACTGTGCTACAGAGACAGTTCCAGGACAGTACTGTTTTAACATCTGTCTCATACCTGATTTACGTCTTTCCCTCCCCATCGCTGACTAGATTTTATGGTTGGTGAGATCTGGGATAGGGAGCAGAGCATGGTCTGGTCTCCTGCTCCCCCATTTTCTGGGTTGAACTCCTGTGGAGCAAGGTTATGAGTGGACATGGTCATGTTATGTAATCAAACAGAGACCAAGATGGTAACAGATGTGCTTGATTTTACTCTAATTCAGACGCCTGTGGCCTTTGCAGATGGGATGACTCTTTTAGGGGCAGTTCAGACTTCACCCTAGCCTCTCTGTGAATAAGAGCTCTCCTAGTGGCTCGTGAAACACAGTGCCTCCCACGGCAGAGTCCGGTGTTATTTGGCCCCACATCCTTTAACTTTCATAGAACCACTAAGGTACTCCTCCATCCCTGTGGACCATGTGTAATGGGTGCAGAGCAGACTCCCCATACTTTTTTCTCTATATGACAATAACTATTATCCCTTAACACCAGGCTAGTACTGGCTTCTCAGTGTCCACTCTTTAGAAATCCCACATTCAAGGACATTCTCACTGGCTTCTCAGGCATACTCTGAGCTCTCCTAAGGAATCTCTTACCATTTAATTTTCTTTTTTGATGAAAGCTCTAGGGTAGGCTGGTTTTACAGATAAAATAAATGTCCAGTTGGGTATTTGGGGGATAAGAAGATATTATCTCCTCATGGCCTATATTCCCTATCTTTTTTTATATTTTTGCTATAGGGCATCTGCACTCTTCAGAGACAGACAGAGAGAAAGACAGAGAGAGAGAGAGAGAGAGAGAGAGAGAAAGTGAGAAATCACCCCCCTCCCAGGGGTGATCCTTTTTCCTCTAGGGATTCTAGGCATGCGTGCACGCACACATGTGCAAACATGCACACACACACACACACACACACATACACACACACAGAGTGTGTTTTACAAGCTGCTGGTCCAGTACTCAAACCATGGAGTTGGTCATGTGGGATTCAGTGCCTCAACAACCATGCCACCTGCTGGCCCTATGTTCTCTATCTTATATCTTTATTTGTTTCTCACATGGATCTTTCTCCTAATTTTCACTTGACTGGGAAGATGGGGAAGGCATATGAAGAAGAAAAAGCCTTTCACTAAGATTCTTCAGTGTCTACAAAGCTCAGGATACCTCAGGGAACCCTCCTTCTTCCAGTCCTCTTAGTTATAGGCTTTGCAGTGAATGGTGGGTGAAAGGTAGCCGAGGGGTTCAACTATTTCTCAGAAAGCCCTGCGAGAATGGTAGTAGTGTTCGTGTGGATCCCAGTGTTCACGAGTCTTTTTCAGCATATGGGATGCTTCTTCAGCTATAACTTACAGGGAGGTAGGCAAAGTCCTACCCAACACAAACATTTGATGTAAATGTTATTAAAGTTACACAATTAGAGTTTATAGAAAGCATATAATTACATCAGGTACCCAATAAGAAGGAAATATGATGTAAATGATTCTTCTAAGACTTGTTTATGTTGGCCAGTTGTAGTGACACATTGATACTGCAACATTCAGTGATGCTGAAGCCATATGGGAAGGTCTGGGGCTGACCATGCTACAGTCCCCTTCCTCCAGTCTTTGAGCCTGAGTGATCTTCGGATGTGGGATTCATGTCCCAAGATCTTCTATGTACACCCTGGGTATACGTGCACCCATACTCCTGACCCTTGCTGGCTGAGGCTGGGGGGTAGAATACAGTGTGAGGACCCTATTGGGAGTGCCTTTCTCTATGTCTTTCTCTCATGGAAGAAACTTCTTTTAAGAAAGATTTTTGTTATAGGGCATGTGTAATCACTGAATAGACAGAGAGAAAGAGAGACAGAAAGCAAGAAACCACCCCTGAGGGGGTATGGCCATGCTGCAATTCCTTCTCCATTCTCCTCGGGATTTTGGGCACACACGCGCACACTCCCAGCATGAGTTTTAAGCCAGTGGGTCCAGACTCAAACTGCAGTCAACTACGTGGGAATCCAGCAATTTAACCATTATACCATCTGCTGGTCCCTTTTATGGAAGAAATTTTTTAAAAATTTGGTTTTGTTCATTATAAATATAATAACATGTTCACTACAGAAAATTTAGAAAATGTATAAAGACATAAATAAGAAAATAAAAATAGTCTGCAGTCACAGAGTACATTAAAACAATAGAGAATCTAAGAATAAATACAGAATGGTCATTGAATCCATAGTATGGAATCATTCTTAAGACGGTAAATTTACTTTTGCATAAATTAAAATTAAGCAAGATGTAGAAGGAAGCAGTGTACTTTCAGCAGAAAGAACCAACAAAATACTACATAGCCCTCTGATTAAGGGAGAAAGTGACCACAGGTCTTGACTTCCTTTCCCCTAGTTCCAAACCCTGAGACCTAGCTGTACACCCCACCTTTGGATTATCTAAGATACTCCTACATCTTTTCGATAAAACCCTACATCAATTCTATTAAATTTTCTGATTTTTGTAAGTATATCATATGCATTATCCTCAAATGGGGCTCCTAGTAGTTAAATTGACTTAATATTTCTAATATTTGAAATACCAATACTAAAAGAGTTAGAAATCTAGTAGATTTGGTATGCCTTTTTTATTTTCTTTATTCTTTATATATTTTATATAATTTTGTTCTGTTGTTTTAGAAATGTCACTGAAAATCATGATTAACTAATCACTTTGTAAATCCATTCTGCATTTTTTGTGCTAATAAATGAATTTTTAAAAATCTAAAAGATAATAATAAGTGACTTAAAGCACTGGGTGAAAAAATTCTGAGACTCAATAATTACCTTCTGAAAGAAATTACAGTAATCTCTTCTTAAAATATAGATTGCTACTTCTTTTAATCCTTCTAGTCCATACATATCAGCCATATTGAGTATCTGACTAAAATAAAAATAGAGGCACTGTTAGTTCTCCATTTGAAAAAGCAAGGCATAATACATAGTAACTTCTTAATAATATGCAGTCTATCTAGAAAAAAGAATAATCAGAATTATTTTATTTCTAACATAAGCCTAAACTTGAAAGCACTGACATGTGATTTGATTAGTGGAGAATAGTGAGAAGAAAATTCGGAGATGTTTCAAATTCCCCTCATATGCACAGTGACATAATAGGGCAAAATCCAGGAAACGGCTCTGAAGGCTGTAAAAGTTAATAAAGCTCTTTGCGACAAATGTGTACAATAAAAATGAGTGTAGGGCAACTCATCGATGCTTATCATATTGAAAATGTCCACAAATGACCCTAAGATTGGGGACAACATTCACTAAGCAGAGTTTCCTTGGCTTCTTTCATTTGCCAAGCAATGAATACCTACACATACTTTAGGTACTTAGGAAACCTACAAGCCTTGAAAGCATGATAAAACTTCATACAGCCTGCCAGGGGATAAAGTTTTCATTCTTAATGTAAATATGTTTTGAGTCATAAGGGTGACCAACCCAAACATATTTATTCCATTCTAAATTAAAGGAGCCAATGCATTCCTTTTTTTTTTTTTTTTTGAGAGATTTTCACTGTAGGGCGCGTGCGCTTGCCAGACAGACAGAGAGAGACAGAGAGACAGAAAGCGAGAAATCACCCCCCAGGGGGGATGGTCACTCCGCAATCCCTTCTTCTCCATTCTCCTCTCGGGATCTTGGGCACGCATGCACACGCGCCCAGCGTGAGTTTTTAAGCCACTGGGTCCGGGACACGAACCGCGGCCGACTACGTGGGAGTCCAGGGACATAGCCATTACGCTAACTGCTGGTTCCCGGAGCCAATGCATTCTTAAAATGAAAATAAATAAATAAATAAATAAAATAACAGCTTTCACTTGTCTGATATGAGAACAGCAAGAAAAAGATGAATCACTTGAAAACTTAAAGGAGCAAAGTGAAGTTTCACTCTCCAGGAAGATTTCAAAAGCTTAGATGGCATCTCATTAGAGCACATTTAAAAAATCACATTAATCGTTTGTCTTGAGGATGGCTTATACTCGTAAATAAGTTTTAAGGTTTTTCTTTTTAAAAATTTTTTTGCTGTTTAAAAAAAAAAATCCTAAAATAAAATATAAAGTAGTAAAATAATTTTCAAAGGTTGAGGGAACCAGCAGTTAGCATAATGGCTATGCTGCTGGACTCCCACGTAGTCGACCGCGGTTCGCGTCCCGGACCCGGTGGCTTAGAACTCATGCCGGGTGCGTGTGCATGCGTGCCCAAGATCCCGAGAGGAGAATGGAGGAGAAGGGATTGTGGCGTGACCATCCCCCCGGGGGGTGATTTCTCGCTTTCTGTTTCTGTATCTCTCTCTGTCTGTCTGGCGAGCGCACGCGCCCTATAGCAAAAAACCTGTCAAAAGAAAAAAAAAAAGGTTGATAAACATTTGACTAAGTTTATTTATTTTATTCCTGAAGGCATGTGTACTTGCAGAAAAAGAGATGGGGAAGAGATGGGGGGGGGGGAATAACAAAGCACACTCCCCCCAGCCCCCCCCCACACACCATGGGGAATGGTTACACTGCAGCCTTTTCTCTATTTTTCTCTCCTTTGGGATGCTGGGCATGCACGTAAGTGTGCAAACATGTATGGTATGTTCTTCAGACTGCCATATTCAGGACTTGAATCATGTAGTTGGCCATGTGGAATTCAGCTACCTTAACCACTACGCTACTGGCTGGACCAATCAATTTTTTTAAAAATGTTTTTTTAATTGCCAGAGGGTGTGTGTGTGCACTTGCCAGAGAGAGAGAGAAAGAGAGACAGAGAGAAGAGGGAGAAAGCACTCCTGTAGGGGGTACAGTCATGCTGTGATTCTTTCTCCTCATTCCCTTATCCTGTTAGGATTTGGAGCACACATTCACGCACTCTGAGCATTCCATGAGGCACCCGTGCCTTAACTAATATATAAGAAAATAGAAATAAAATTGAAGCTTCTATTTCACTAACACTTTGCAATATAGCTCAGTAAAACAGAACCTGTAATATATTAACACTTTAATATTTAAAATTACTAAAAAGCAATACATACCCAACATTTGCTTTGTCTGGAAAGTCCAAAGTTCCTCCATATATAAAATGCATCATAACATTCATTTCTACATGGCTTATACTGAAAAAGAAAAGAAAATTCAAATATAAAATAATTAAGGTTTAACTGATATCAATGATCCGTTCTTTTTTCCATAAAGTTTTAGCCAAGATAAAGTTCTGTTCTTGGGGCTGGCAGATAGTGTGGTGGTTAAGGACAGTGGATTCCACCATCGGCAACCATGGTTCAAGTCCCAGACCTGGCGGCTTGCTTTCTCACTTTCCTTTTCTCTCTCTCTTGCTCTGGCCATCTCTGGTCAAATTTAAATAAATAAATACATAAATACATAAATAAAGTTAAATAGAAATAATCCTTAAAAAAAAAGTTCTGTTCTTGCTTTATCTGAAGACTAGATATAAGGGGGAGGTCATCAAAAAGTTCATGGAAAAATATATTATGAAAAAACTATGCTGCATTCCAAATTATTTTTGCACCAAAAACAAACATGTATTTTAATTCCATTTATTTTTTACAAAATTTATAAAAGTTTATTTATCTTATAATAGAGAAAAAGTGCATCGTCATGCAAGAGAGAAGAAGGGAGAGAGAAACACCCTGGGCAGGGTCTAGTCACACTACAACCCCCTTCTTCCTGGTCTCCATCTTGTCAGGATCTTGGGCATGCACATATACACCTGGCATGTTAAGGGCTCAGTGAGCCAGGGAAAGATAGAGAGAGCGAGATAGACAAATAGGTACTCCAACAGTGCCTCACACTGTGATTCATCCCAAGATTCAGCCAGCCCAGATCACAGGCACATGTGCATGTGATGAACGTGAATGGGGCTGGGAATGTGACCAATAGCGGGGCATGTGGCTTCCAGCACTGCAGTCCACTACATTACTGACTGCACACCGAGGCTGGGCCTCCATGAATTTTTTGAAGTTCCCCTCAGAGTATTCTTCAACTGACACACATAGAGGTACACCATTACTTTCAAATGACCCACAGCTGTGGATTTTTTTTTTTTTGGAGAGATTTTCACTGTAGGAGGCGTGTGCTCGCCAGACAGACAGAGAGAGACATAGAGACAGAAAGCGAGAAATCACCCCCCAGGGGGGATGGTCACGCTGCAATCCCTTCTCCTCCATTCTCCTCTCGGGATCTTGGGCACGCACGCACACGCGCCCGGCGTTTTAAGCCACCGGGTCCGGGACACGAACCGCGGTCGACTACGTGGGAGTCCAGCGACATAGCCATTACGCTAACTGCTGGTTCCCCCACAGCTGTGGATTTTGATAGATACTATAAAATGTCATTAGCATAGTCATTATTTAAAAAAAATTTTTTTTTGGTCAGAGGGTGTATGCACTTGCCAGAGAGAGACAGAGAGAGAAGAAAAGAGAGAAAGCACCCCTCACTCCCCAGGGGATGGCCATGCTGCAATCCATTCTCCTCTAGCTCTCCTGGGATTTGGGGCATGCATACACATGTTCCTGGCTGTTTTTCAGGCCTCCATGTTCAGGACTTGAACCACACACAGTTGGCCATGTGGGAGCTAGCCACTTTAATCATCAAGCCACCAGATGGTCCATTGATTATTTTTTGAGCATCTTCTATCACAGACATTTAGAGTCTAAAGGAACTTTACTCTGGCTCATTAAGAAATCCTTTTCTCAGCACCTTTGACAAATGGGTTGCTGGTTTGGCTTATAGCCTCGGATGAACAATTCTATTCCTGAGAAAGATCCTTGTTATGCTGTATGGATTTCTTAATTCCTAATAGCTATCTGTGGCTCTAGGTTGACTAATGTTTTCATACAGAAGAAAAATAAAGATAACACTTAAAAAATAGTTAGGAGTGATAACTTTTTCTTTCTTTCTTTCTTTCTTTTCTTTTTTTTTTTTTTGCATTCTTCAGAGGGAGAAGGAGAGGAGAAAGTACCCTGCCATGGGGCATGGGACCACAGTCCCTTCTTCTCCATCTCCCCTCCCTTTGGGATTTTGAGTACACACACACACACACACACACACACATGCACCCAGTGTGTTTCTTAAGCTGGGTCTGGGATTTGAATTGCATGGTCGGCCACGTTGGATCTGCTGCCTTAATCATCAGGCTACGGAGCCAACCTAGAGTGACAACCTTTAAGTCTTACTGACTAATGTATCTCAAAATCTGAATCCCAT